ATTGAAGATCAGTTTTCCAATTTGATTGGGATAAAACACATTTACAGACGAATTCTTAAATACTACACGTAAGCAACTGCAGATATTGAAGAAACCGCCGAGAAACAATCTATTTTTCTGTATTTCCTTTGACAACTAGGAGCAACGTTTTTCACTTTTATAAAATCAAACTTTTTTCTTTAAACAAAAGAACTATATGACGGTCACATACGCCTAAAATTTCGGAAAGCACTTCAGAAAACTTTTCAAATTAATTTTATCTCCAAGAGTCATTCAGTACCCCATTTTAATCGTATTTTTATCTGATCTTTACGTGTTTAATGAGTTTTTGATACATGATATACATCTATGATATACTTATAATGTATAATCTATGATATACATTTCGTTTTATAAGTAACTTTAGTTGCGTTCGACTTTCTAATATCTAAACGATCTAGTTTCACATGATTCCATACAATTTCATATTTTCAGAGAAAATAAGATTACCTTTTGACTCTCTTTTATTACATTTATTTAAATTACTGTTTCATAATTCATCACAAATAATAAATACCTAAATACAGAATTTAAAGTGATATAATTAAACCAAACCTGATTTGGTTTAAGAAAGGAGTTTCAATTTTATAACGCTTTTAAAAGAAATTTAATTATTTATCTAAACGTAATGGAATAATAATAAAAAAGTAAATAAAACTGTTTATTGCAGTTTATGTAATTATGTAATAAACTATAAAGTAATTAACAAAAATTTATATTAAATGAAAACAAAATAAACAAAAAAGAATGAAGTATGCATATAAATAAAAGCTATTTTATTTTATTATTTTTAAAAGTATTTAATACTGAAAATTCTTTCAGAACATTAAATCGACTTTTTAAGCCCAGTGTGATGTGACTGTAAGGCTTTGCTAGCTCGCTAGGTGCCTGTGGAATCCCACAGAACCTCCTAACTGTAGGAGACAATAAAGTTAAATTTTGAATCAATCCAAAAGCAGTAGATGTTGTCCAGTACAAAATAAGACACTAAAAAAAAGAAGAATTCATTAAAAATACATATGTATCTCCATTTTATTTTACTGATTACCGAAGGGACACAAGCAGACACAGGAATAATTAGCACACTTAAACCTCTAAATAAATTTGTTATTCCTTTTTGAAACTTTGAAGGTACATTTCTTCTTGATAACATCTGAACCTAACGAAATGATACATAAAAATAGTCAAATATCCTTTTCAAAAATGGAAAATAAGCATTTTTATTCTATGTAATGAAAATGGCTAAACAAATAAATGAAAAAATTAAAACTTACTTCTACTATGGCTAAATTCAGTAATCCTAATGTAACAGGAAAAATAAAGGTTGAATCAGATACAGTAAGATTAGGAATCCAGCCAAATCCACCAACAGTAAGACCAATAAAATTTAATTCAGCACCCAAATCTCTATTTGGTAACATATATACAAGATTTCTGAGAGACACTGAAAGGCAAATCCATAAAGGTATTTGAAATATCATTAGAAGTCCTGCCTTAAATGGATGGCAATTTTCTCTGACTATTAAATTATTCCACTGCTTCTTTATCTAAAAAAAATCGATAATTCCTCCTGTATGGTTTAGAAAAATGAACAAACGATCTTACTGATTTTCTAAAATGAAATTTTGCTTGTCTTTCGTCCCAATTATACAATTTTATTGCAACTGCTAATTCCTTTTTGAGCTCCTCAGCTAATCCTTTCATTTCTAGGTTTATATTCTCGATTTTTGCAAGGATGTACTGTTGATATACAGCTAATGGCACAGTAATGCATGTTCTAAATATAATTGTCGTAAGTACAATTGAAGCCCACCAAGGAAGGCCAGTTTTGTCATGAACATCTACTAGAAACTGTTGAATGTACCCCACTGGAGTACTTTCAGAAATTGACTTAAAGATACCAGCCTGAGTTTTAGCCAAATCTTCTACGGTACTTTTAAACGTGAACTGTCTATTATTTAAGTAAATTAAAAGGGGACCACAGGGAGAATATAATATTTGTCTTCCCAATGCCGGCTTTAAACAATGTCGAAACTGCACTTGACACGAACTTAAGTGTGCTTTTTGAAAGTTAAGATTAGATCTTAATATTTTACAATAGCTCATAACTGCACAAACTAGTTACAAAATATATACATACATAATTACTGTTAATTATTTATTTTTTGTTTGATTCCCAACAAAAATCAAACGTTTAACCTCAAATCTCGTTGTCAAAAACAGCTGTTCAACAAAGTGACAGGTAGTGGCAAATTTTATCCAGGGGCGTAGCATAAAAATTAAACAGCACATTAATAATTTATTAACTCTTATTTTCTGGTTATTATGTTAAAGACTTATGGAAATGATATAAAAATACTTTGTTGACTATTAAACAAACGTTATGTTTAAGTGTTATTTATTTGGCTGTACTTTATTAATAATTAATTTTTGCAAAGGAGTTGCTGCTGGCGTAAATTTGCAAATTAACTGAAGCTGATTGGACAATTACTGATTGGGTGGCACAACCGAAAGAGGTTGAGGTGTTACGGTTTTCTATTTACATTTTTTTGTATTCCAGTTTGTTATAATAAAACGGTCATGCTAATTATACGCGATTTTGTAATAGATGGTTTTTGAAGTGCACCAATGCGGAATTAATAGTGTAACCTAAATATTGGCTGTGTATATGACCTATATTTCGTCTTGTAGATTTTTTTAGTGTTTAATAAAAAATAATAATGGGAAACGCTATAAAAATGTATACTTCTCCACAAAACATTGTCGACAATGTTAAAGATTTGGTCACAGGACAAAAAAGGAAAAGAAATGAAATTGACGAACAAGAAGAAACTAATAAAATAATTGATTTAGCTTTACACACCCCTAAGAGGTAAGAAAATACAATTGTCATACTTAAATTGTTTCTTTCTATATTACCTTTTTATTTTGTAATTACTGATTCTAGTACTATTTAAAAGTAAGTAATTTAAATTCATGATTTTTTTGAATAGTTATGTATTTTTATTTTAATTACATGGCACTTTTGAAATTTTTTTCTTCTAAAAATTAAATAAACAAACATTTGCATATATTGCCACCAACGTCCTTGATTAAGTCAGAGTATCTTATTAAATATGCATAATGATGTCATACCTCACCAATTTTGTCTGATTCTTCTCTTTTTACCTATAAGGAAAGAAATACAGTAATGTTTACACTTTCTCTTTACATAATGATAGTAAAAATCAAATTCAAAGCACGCAAATAAGTTACACTTTCAAACTATAAAAACATCCTACATGTGCTTTTATAATAATAAATATACCTATTCTACCTAATAATTGTATCTTTAATTCTTTAACTTTTTNTACAAGTACTTCGAAACACCAACGATCACAAAATTCTATTAGATGTATGTCTACAGTTGAGGAGGATACCTGACCAGGACAAGTAAGATTTTGTATTGTGATTTATTTTTTTTTTTTTATTATTTCACATAATAATCTTTTTTTTTTCTTCCAATTTCTAGGGTTTACGTTAAAGAAACAGATAGAATTCAATTGGCAGATCACGCCCTGTTCCTTTGTATGCAATCCTTGAAAGTCCAAGTCAAAAACATCAACAACATGAGCCACAGTTCTGCTCAGAAATTTCTACTAGATCTGTACAGGGCTTATCAGCGTGTTCAAAAACATATTATGGAAAAGGAACGTGACTTTTCAGGGATGCTTGAAGAAGTGTACAAGAAATTTATGAAAGAAAAGGTAACTACAACTTCTAGCTTCTCAAGTTACATTACATCATATATTTATAACAGTAAATGCTATTTATTAAAGCTCCCAGAAAACGTAAGTACCCTCGACTTGGCTGTTAAATTTTGCCAACAACACAAAGCTGCTGAAAAAACCAAAATGCAGCAGCAAAAGCCTCCACCTGTTCTTGTGGCACCAACTGTATCAACATCTGTAAGTGAATCTTGAATTTAACGCCGTCCTACTTAATTAATTAATAAAATCTTTTAGGCTCCTGTTCATCCCTCTCCGTCTACAATTACTTCCACGATGAACATCCCTTTAAAACGCCCAAGTATACCTGGAAGAACAAGAGGTCGTCCCCCCGGTCCCAGTAAGAATCCAGGTATCCGAAAACCGTCGTCTAGAGGTAGAGGCGTCCACAGGAGTCTTTACAACCCTTTCACCTCCTACCAGAGTCCCATGTTCGACTCGAAATCGTTAAACTTCGCTTTACAATACCAAGAACTTCTTCGTCAGTACAATCAACTGACTCAGTTCAGTCAGATGGCTACGTCTCCAAGTTCGGTGATGTCGTCAAACTTGATGCAAATGCTCACCCAATTAACCAGCAGAACGATGAACCCTCACTCATCAGGTCTAAACAATCTGTGGGGCAATATGGGCCCCATCGGCGTCACGCCCCCTCCAACTACCATGATTCCCATGACTCGTCCCTTGCAACAACAATCGACTAGTAAACTAAACACGAGTAGTTCATTGCAGAAAAGTTCTTCTTCGCAGAAGAGTACAGGATCGGGTTCATCCGTTATACACGGAATTGGTGGGGTCAAGAAGATGCCCTTTGTACCTCCAAATTTTCCCTGCACAAGCACTTTCAAATATCCCAGTACAGATGTGCCAAAGGTGAAAGCTAAAGATGTTACCAAAACTACTTCAAGTACTTACATTTCCAAGGTAGATAATACAATAAGGATTCCTTGAATGAGGCTTAAAAGATTAATATTTTTAGGATATTTCCCATTCGGCCAAGATCTCTTCGTCTCTCTCCCAATCTGATGACGTCTCAAAATTGACAAGTCAGCTAGTCAAAGAACGTCCTAGTATTTCTATCACACCCGTGGTATCATCAACAGGGGGCGCGAGCATTGTATCATCATCTCAATCGAAAATACCAACATCGCCCATGAAAACATTACAAGAAAAACTGGCTGACAAGCAGAAAAATGCGAGCGCCAAAAACGTTTCAAAAAGCTTCAGCTTCGATAGTGTTGTCCCCAACAAACCAACAGCAGTACCATCTTCGAGTGCTTCTCAACAGATACCCACGTTTCCGAAAGAGTCGGGAATTACTGTGAGCCAGGTAAATTAAAAAATCCATTAATATCCTTTAATAATAACTAGTTTTTCCCCCTATCAGTCACTGTGAGTTCGAAACTGTTAGCACCATTGCTTTGAGTGATCGAAATTTAATTTTGTGAACAATACTATGACGTAGTGTCGGCCATCATTTTTTTAATTGTTGCTGTTGTCGGCCATCATTCTTTTCATTGTTGCTGTTGTCGGCCATCATTCTTTTCTAATTGTTGTTGTCGGCCATCATTCTTTTGTTGTCGCATTGTCACTGATGTCTGCCATTATGGTTTTTTAATAGATGTATAGTAATCAATGATTAAAATTTAAAGGAATTGTTTGTAAATAGGTATGCAACACATCGTACACTCAGCATAAGAAATTGCTGCACTAACCCCGTAATACTACTATACTTTGCCCTGTGCTGACACTACTCATAATTTCTTTTATATATAATATTTGCAATTAAAATATATATTTTGTTGCAAAATTAGTACATTTTTATTATTTGTTTGTTTACGATTTTTTATTATATATATAAATACTGTTATCTTNTTCGTCAGATGATGACGTTATTGTAATTGAATAAGTAGCTTTTAATTGTGATCTCGAACAAAAATTTAATTTTTAATACCTATGTAATTTTTCATTAAAAAATAAATCGTACTATAAATATAAAAAATAACAAAGGGTTTTCTTTTAGTTATTAACTATTTTAGGGGCAATTCAACGAAAAAAGTGTAAAGTCGTTAATATGTTTTAATTATTATACATAAACAATAATTTCCTGTACAAACAGAATAAGGATAGTAAATAACAAACTTGACTTTCTGTTTAAATATTTACATGTGCACTCGTTAAAACATTTACCTCATTTTTTTATTTAATACCTATATTGCGATATTAAAATTTGCTGTATTTAAACCTGTGTGGCTCGGCAGTGCTAATAACGAATGTATTATTAACACCACCCCGTTAATTTTCAGGCACCAATTAACAATAATCCTACATAGCATTTACTTTTCCTTTAAAAAAATTATCTTACACAACACAAACGACATACAAAGACACACCTTAAAATATCAAACATTTATGTATTTAAATGCAATGAGTAATTAAAACGACAATCAGCAGCAAGTTCATAATATTTAATTTTCGAAGTTATAATTAAAAAACAAATGGTAAAAACTCGTCATACACCGAATAATAATAATTTAAATACTAGGCAACGATGAAGTTAATTGTTCTAGAAGACAATGATAATCTTTTTGTTTTAACAAATGACGATAGTCTACAACAACATTAAAATAAAAATGACGCCAGTCATCTTTTTTGTTAATTGTTTTTCTTTTTTCACCTGAAAATTTTCTATAAGCCCACTTCGATTATTATCTATTTATGTAAACAGCTCACATACATACTGAGACTTTATGTATTTATTAAAAACGAATAAATAATAAAGGACGTTGAGTACACCCAAAAACACCTCCTGCATCCTCTAAAAGTGACCATAATCATGTAATTTTATATGTTATACTTTCTTTAAACGATATTAAGTATGCGGGGAACTATGGAAAACAAACAAAAGTACAAAATAAAATAAAGAACAAAAGTTGCAAGACGTGCAATAAACAAATTGCACGTCCCCTTAGCAGTCTAAGTATCATTATTATATTATATACACCCACAGCAAAAAGTGCCGCCCATCGTTGTCGTATTGTTTTTGCTATTTATTTTATTATTGTTATTATTATATCGTTTAGTCTATTTTCACAGTCGAATATATTTTTCTAACAAAAATACTAGTGCCAAAATAACCAACTGTACCGCACATTATTCCCAAAGCGGCACTAAATAGAGCCATATAACCAAAATAGAATGCCGTCTGGAATAAACCGTACATCCTGCAAGAAAAGATCGGTAAATCCCCTATACAGCCTCAAAACCATTAATAAACAAAGGCACCCCCAAACTATCATTATATTGTGTTTACTATCCTTCTTTTCACTTTTGTTTATGTAAAATATACAAAGAAAAACATTACCCAAAAAAAAAAACAAGTTTAAAAACGACTTACTTTGTTTTGAAGAAGAAATAATAGATGGAGTACAGGTAGACGTAACCTGAGGTCGACCCAGCAGCTAAAAACGACGTCCATTGCCAGCGATAGTCCTCGGCATTCAGCAAGAAGTAGGTGCACACAATGGTCACGCACACAGTGACCACAACCAATATCAAAAACACTAGCAACATGAAACCATAGACGTAGTAAATTTTGTACGCCCAAAACGACGTGAAAATAAAGTACCTGAAACAAAACGATAAATTGCGCTTTTAATTATTACAACCACACAGTAATATCTTTATGTAACTATTACATTTCTATGAAGATGCTCGCGAATGGTAATATCCCACCAAGAAGTATGATGACCCCAGGTTCCATAAACCATTTCTTTTCAGGTATCGGACGGGGTACCGCATTTATACGACACGGATAATCCGGCTGTCCAGCCAGATTACGTCCCAAAACGGTTCCAACCAAAGTCAAAGGCAATATTACAAACAGACATATGCATGTTACAGCTACCTGTAATTTTAAATTGATCATATGCATTAAAAAAAATCACTCATATTTAAAGTAAATTTGGTAAAAAGGGTAACAAGAATAAAAACGTCTTCTTACCATAATGCTGAAGGGAATGGCTCTCGAGGCGTGATAATAGATGGCAATAAAATTGATACAAAATGCTGTGCCGCAAACCAAGGCGGGCATCATAAAAGCTGAGGCCAACATCTGCCTTATCCACAGTTTGCCCCCCATTCGAGCATACAAAGAACCTCCAAAGTAACCATTAATAGGCGATGTGGCAGCATATACAAATATTGATGTAGACAGCAAAGAACCTCTCCTAAAATAAATAAAAATAAGCAAAAATATAAACGTGTTAAAGTAATTTTTAAATATTTACTCACTCTGTATATAATTCTCCAAGTATAGCAAACACTATTACACAGAAAACAACGGTTGTGATTTGATGACCAGCACCAATAAGGGCAGAAAATAGCAAAGGGTGGGATGCCGGTCGAAACACGTCCCCATGTACCTGCTTCCAACCATATTCATCACCAAGATCCCTTTCCTGGAGAAGATAAATAAAACAAAAACATTACTATGAATTATCCCAACCCAAGTATAACAATTGTTGGTACCATGTCATCTATGTCTTCATCTTTACTGTATCTTGCATAATCTTTTCTCAAGGTTCTCATTAGGATCATTGAAACCAAGCCAACCAAAAATATTACCATCATGAAACTATTAAAAATACTGAACCAATGGATCTAGCAAACAAATAAGTTTTGTATTAAATTAACAGATTAACATAAACAAGACTTCAAGTTACCCTATGCTGGAAGAAGTTTGGATCCAGATACTTGTCAAAACGATCTTCAAATTTAACATTAGACTTCTTCCAAATAACTTCATATGTAAACGAAAGTTTGGTGGTCGGTGTCAAGGGAACTTTGTTTTCTGAAGTTATATTAACATCCACTATTTGCTTTCCATTATAACCAATTTCAAACTTTTTATGAGTCCAAATATAATACTTGGAGTCTGTCACTTCTCCTACTATACCCCAAATTGGCAGGTCATCAATGTACATCTGATACCAGTAGTGATTTTTAATTGCATATACAAATGTCTTGTAATGTTCCTCATTCAACTGAACACCACAGTACTCAGATTTTGGGACATCAACTGAAGGATGAAAATAAGAAAGTAAGAAATAAGGCTCCATTTATAATTTCTGGAGCTCACCTTTAAATTCAATATCAAGCCCACTAAATTGAAGTTCCACCCCTTGTAAAGCTTCACTCAGAGTCTCATGATAATGAGAAATTCTTTCTTTAGAGCCGAAACAAAATGGCAAGGAGTCATAGGCATAAGTTTCTTGTCTGTTATGATATGGACCCACCGTATTCATCCACAATACTACCTCCTCATTATCATCATACTAAAAGAGCACAACATGCCTGTTTTATTTAAGCTAAATTTTATTTTAATATTACTTACAATGTGAGTATGTTCATCAGTCATAACACTGCATAAACAGCAAACAATTAATATTTCTAACACTAGCCACATTTTCAACTCAACTTGTCAATCTTAATTGAAGATCAGTTTTCCAATTTGATTGGGATAAAACACATTTACAGACGAATTCTTAAATACTACACGTAAGCAACTGCAGATATTGAAGAAACCGCCGAGAAACAATCTATTTTTCTGTATTTCCTTTGACAACTAGGAGCAACGTTTTTCACTTTTATAAAATCAAACTTTTTTCTTTAAACAAAAGAACTATATGACGGTCACATACGCCTAAAATTTCGGAAAGCACTTCAGAAAACTTTTCAAATTAATTTTATCTCCAAGAGTCATTCAGTACCCCATTTTAATCGTATTTTTATCTGATCTTTACGTGTTTAATGAGTTTTTGATACATGATATACATCTATGATATACTTATAATGTATAATCTATGATATACATTTCGTTTTATAAGTAACTTTAGTTGCGTTCGACTTTCTAATATCTAAACGATCTAGTTTCACATGATTCCATACAATTTCATATTTTCAGAGAAAATAAGATTACCTTTTGACTCTCTTTTATTACATTTATTTAAATTACTGTTTCATAATTCATCACAAATAATAAATACCTAAATACAGAATTTAAAGTGATATAATTAAACCAAACCTGATTTGGTTTAAGAAAGGAGTTTCAATTTTATAACGCTTTTAAAAGAAATTTAATTATTTATCTAAACGTAATGGAATAATAATAAAAAAGTAAATAAAACTGTTTATTGCAGTTTATGTAATTATGTAATAAACTATAAAGTAATTAACAAAAATTTATATTAAATGAAAACAAAATAAACAAAAAAGAATGAAGTATGCATATAAATAAAAGCTATTTTATTTTATTATTTTTAAAAGTAT